TTGCGAGAACGACGAAACTTTGGAGTCAGTGGCTCTTGCAGCTTATGCCACGGGCCTCGGTAAACGAGCGCTCTGCCGTTTTAAATGAGCTCGAGACCAACCTTATCACGTCTGCTATTCGAAACACGTGCATCAGAGACTTTTTGGGGCATAAAAAATATGTGTTTTCACGTGCAACTTTTTTAAAAGCTGTGTTTCATGTTTACGAACTTCGGCTTACAGCGATCGGATGCCGCGTCACGCTGAGGTTCGTTATAAGCGGGCTCGACTGTATCTGTTAAGTGCCCCTAGTTCATGCACAGGAACACTGACATCAATGCAATACGTTAGTCCTTTAGAAAGAAGCGATGCCAAGTCCTCCGGTAGGCTCACGTTTCCTAACATCACCAAAATTTATGACTTCTCCTTTTATTTACTCTCCTTGCTAATTTTACAGCATTGTCCTATAATCTACTTCCACCAGTATTCCGTTGTATGATGGATGATGCATCTGGAAGTTCTTAACTTCTCTTCCGCTAACCATAAAACATCATTCTTCAAGTGCGTTATGCGTAGCCAGACGTGAAGCAAGCGTACATGTTTCCACAATTATGAATGGTGATTTTTGCACAGCCGAGCATTGTGGCCCCTGGAAGGCGCAACGTGACCAAAGAAGTACTCCCTTCAGGTGGCGTTAGTCCTTTCTTTATGAAAAAAACGATGTATCTTGCACGGCAGGTAGTTGCAACGATGGAACTGATGATGATGTCGTCGACGCTAGATAAGAAGCCCAGAGAAGACAGACACGAAGAAAGGCCAATTTCACTAGAAATATATTGTAACAATACTGATTGTTGGTTAGCACCTTGAACGTTGCTAAAGTTTTTAGGTATATGGATGACTTTTTGATTCTTTTTGACAGACAAGGCTCCTCGACGCGCTGTGATGATATCTTAAATATTTTTAGGATTCCCGAAAAGGACTTGTTTTCACACAAGAACTGCTTCAAGGAAACAACCTGCAGTTGTTAGATCTTCGTTTTACTTTCCACAGCGGGCAAACGTGCTGGCAATATTTTTCTCGTGCCAAGAAAGGGGTAATGCCGTATGACTCTTGCCAATCAAAAATAGTCAAGCGTGATATTGCTACGCTCTGCCTGGGATCTACTATCGAAAAATCGTGCACACACACGATGCAGGCATCATTCGAGAACTAGACCCAGCGACTTGAAGCTGTGAATTTCCCTGACTTGTTATTGACAGCTGCCTCCAAAGCGCTTTTGCGGAAAGCAAAAAGCGAATGTACTAGAGCTGCCACGGTGTAACAAGGAACTAAAACCGTAAGACCTGCAGTGATGCCTTATGCTCATAAGGTCTCCCATAACATGAAAAAGGTAGTAGGCCGGTATGGGGTACCTGTCGCCTTTTTTGCGCCCGTAAAACCGGCTCAGCTGTGCCCGAGAACTGCTCAGGGGGTAGAGGCGAGCCGTCAGAGATGCGGCAAGAAACATGGCACGATGTACGGGAAATGTCCAATGACGTTGTTTATGAGATTCCCTTTTCCTGTGGCAACTCGTACATCGGGACTACCGGGCGCTGTATTAATGAATGTATAGGAAGCATGAATTAAGTTTAATGAAAGATGGCCTGGCGCATTTGCTTATGCATTGTAAATCCTGCGGGTGTGTACCACGTTTTAACGAGTTTAAGATTCTAGGTAAAAGTAGGCATAAAACGTATGCATTGAGTGTCTTACCGGCGGTGGTCACCGGTGAGGCCGCACCCCAGGCCTCTTAATGCAGTTCCATCACCACGTGGATTCTTTTTTTTTTTTATACAGTTCGAAACTGCGTGGCACCGGGATTCGAACCACGAACCTTTAGCATGCGAGGCGGATGCTCCAACCACTACGTCATCGCCGCAGCTTTTTTTTTTTTATAAAACTGCACGTGAGTTGATGGAAGGCTGTTAAATTAAAAAGAAAGATGAAAGGTGTATCAGCGAACCGACGGTGACAATGTACATATCGGAGAAGAGGTTGTTTGGTAGCAGGATAGCGTAAGGGCGTGTGAAGACTGCGCATGTCTGTATGTTGTTATTTAAGTCTGGATTTGCGCCCAGTATACTTTAGTTGGAAGTGCCGCTTGTGCTTGTCGTTCAGTGTTCCTTTACTTTGTGTGTGTGTTATTTGCAGCCAAAGCATGTCATTAAGCTCATCCAGGCCAGGCATAAGGAAGTCGAGGAACGTGAGCGACTAGTGCTCGAGAGAGACCGCCAATTGTAACACAGAGCAGGATACATTCTAATTACACCTGTTTAAAAAAAAAGCCACCTCTTCACTGTGATGATAATGAAGATTGTGACCATGTTTTTACACCCACACTTCAATCGGGTACTCTGTAGATTTTATGGCCCCACTAATAATATTTTGGGAATCACTGAAAATGGGTCAGCAACTGCACACTACACAACGAGCAGGCAAGTTTGCTCTTCCCACTGAAGCTTCATGTTTTCGTTTAATTGCCCTATATGTACTATGTACACTCTACCACAAGGAAAATGAATGTTATAAACAACATTTAAGATGCATTTGGTGTTAGCCATGTTTTCTCCTCTTGTGTATGTGTTTTTCAAGGCTAGGTTTATTGATCTTTCAAACTGCAGTAAAGCTTCATTAGTTCAAACTCGGTTATTTCAGAATCTCATTCATTTTGAAGAATTTCTACACTCCCAAAATTTGCAATGTAAGCTTAAGTGGACAATTTGAAGCAATGGTCTGCACCTACCAGGTTAATTCAAAAACTTTGCCTGCGATGTGCCAATTCACAATCCCAATTTGGCTGCAAATACACAGAAACAATTGTCCTAAGAAGCCACCAGGCAATTCAATGTTGCAGCGTTAATAGGTTACACGTGAAACGCCCCAGCCTTGCTGCTTCCAGCAAAAAATACTAATACTAATAATAAAAAAAGAGCACGAATAGAAGATGTGCAGTGCTTGCAGTACCCAAAACAGACGGCGTGCAGTACACAAGCACTGCACGCCGTCCGACTTAAATTCGTGAAGCATTTCAAAACATTACGCGTGCCAAACAAGCATTCTACTACAGAGTCACGCCAGGCTCTGAACTACTTTTGAAATAGGATCTATTGTTCGCGAAACGTCGATTGCTGTTGCAGTGCTGGATACCCAATTTTGTAAACATTACATATGTATTCCTATGATACAGCCGTCATGTCAGTTTAGAGTGACACTAAAGTCAAATACCAATTTACATAAGAGTGAAAGCTCAATGTATGGCAACAACTAAAGCGTCAATATAATCAACAGCAATGCCGTACTTACCGAGAAACGAAGGTAAATGCACAAGAATACATGCGCCGCAGTATGACATTCTCAAAATGATACCGACGACGTCAGACAAAGCGCCTACAATTAATAACTAGTAATCGACATAGCTGCAATAAACAAAGAACCTTTCGTGCATCAAGAGAAGCAATAAAATGCTGCTTGTTCATTTCTATTTGATGCAGAGAAAGAAGAACCGTCCGATGTTACTATGGAAAATGACGCGAGTGGTTCGAAAATTCTATTATCGCGTGGTTACAATGAACAGGCCGTGCCATCTTGTGGGGCACCGTTGAACCACAAAACACGTCTGCCATCTCGGAGCCAATGGCAGGAAATCAATCAATAGCCGTTATTACTGCCGTGATTGTCGCTGCTTTCGTTCTGTCTAGTAGTGCTGGCGACCGCGCAGTAGGGACGGGCAACGTTGTTCACGGCAACAGCGACGGGAGTCGGTTTAAAGTGCGCTAACATGATGCGGGCCACTAAAACGTGATTCTATTTCAAAATAAGCCCTTCCTTCGCACAAAAGTAACACTATGAGGTTTCTGAACCGCTATTTCAACAATCAACATCGACTTAATAGTAGCCTCTTTAACATCAATTGTAGTTAGATGTTATCCACTGAAATTGATTTATGTAGCAGTGTCTAGAGCTACAATCCTTGCAAGCAGCAGTGCTTCACAGCAGCTTATTGCTTCTGCAGCATTGCTAATACTTATGTTTTTGTTGGCATTGTTGCAGAAGTACACACAACTGGTTATATGAACACTCGCAACTGTTGTCTGTGCATGCAACATTTGTACATATAATATGCGTCATTTCATAACGAGTCCCTCTGTAAAATTTCCAACATGGTCACCTTTCCTCTACATGTTTCACATAGTGTCGATTCCTAAATACGTGGGATCTGCCAAAAGTTTCTTTATTTCGCAACAAATTTTTGATCAAACTCAGTGCTATTCCAGTATACTTTTGTGCTGATTTCATATACGGCATTTTTTTTCTAGTATAATCTGTAGTTTTACAATAAAAAATATTTCATGTGCCTTTTGGGGAGCTTGAATTTTCCAAGACGTATCAGAAATGTTTGTGGTGCAAAAAAATGAATGTTAACTCTACGAGAACAAAGTTGTGATATGTTTAACATTTGTGAGCAAGTCAATTTCAAGACAACTTCACTTGAAGCAAGGAAACAATCTGCTGTAGTGCAGCATTTGTCATTCCAATAACAAAGAAAATCAAGGTAAAATTTATAACTACCTTCCAGCTTGCTAGTTGAAACGAAAGAAAGGTGGCTCCCTTTGGACATATTTTGAAAAGTTTTTTGTTGCAATCTGTTCGTGAGTTGGAAGAGGGCTTCAGCTTGAACCCCCCAAGAAAGAAATAATGAAAACAACTGACTTGAGGGGGTCCGAAAACTAGGTTAAAGGGGCAGTTTATGCTTCATGAAGTTCCATGGGAGAGATAACATCCCTATAGCTGTTCTATATGCTTTTATACTATGAGTGGTCAGCACCATATCAAAGAAGACAAAAGGCAAAGACAAGAGATTTTCTGTAAGTATTTCTCTCTAGATGCTGTGGCTTTGTAAAACCATAATCAATTGCTAAATAATCTCTGTGTCAAACCATCTTTGTTTCTCTTGAAAGGCCCAAGTTGGGAAATAGTACCTTTAAGTGCTTCTGCAGCTGCAACTATTTCTGTGACGGCTACAGCAATGTTGCGTGACGTCGACACCAGTGCCTGTTTGCCTTCCCCTGTAGGTTTCTGAACAACCTGCATGAATGCAACATGTCATCTGTTACAAAGCAACAGCACTAACTACTACTTGTGTTGCGGCATACACTTATACAACACAGTTAATAAATTTTGAGACTACAGAGAATGAATCTCAACTTTCTACTCAGGATTAAGAGCAAAGGAAACAACATAAACATGGAAAGAGGACCACAACAGGCTTGACTGTGAATACATGTTAACTAGAGTCGTGCGAAAAGCAAAATCTTGGGTGCAAAGTGAATTCGAATAATTTAGTGTGAGTATGAATCGGATAGAACATTTTTTGAATATTTCTCAAATATTTTTCTAATACCTTGAAGTGAAATCACAAAAAAAAAGTTGCAAAGGGTCCCTGAGCATACTCTTATCAGATGGCAAAATGTAAATCTTTATTTTGGTTAAGCTGGAGGAGTAGTGTTGCCCAGTTGCCTTATCAAGATGTCACATACTTATCTCGGGAGAACTTGCATCAGATAGAATTGAGAGAGTTGGGAGACGGGCATGGCACGAACAAAAAACACTTTATAACCCAAAAAATAAAAGGCAGAGAATCAAAAGCGAAAATTAAACCGACACTCGTGGACACAAAAATACGCCATTAACAGTACAAGCAAAACAGTTTGCAAACTAGTCTAAATCCGTTCTTAGCCCTCGCCACTGCTCCTAATCCAATTTCGCATCTCCCCAATCGAATGATCTTATGGTTAACGTCGGCTTTTCTCCGATGCCAAGTAGAGGTTTGTTGCGTACGTCATGGACTTTTTTTTCAACCTTATACTGTCGCCGTTTGTTGGTCCCAACGAATGAGCTGCTCGTCGTTGTCACTGGCGACCTGGACTCCGTCGTCTTTTTCGGCCTCACTAGGCTAGGCTTAGCCCCGTCATGAACTCTCTTGATGGCAAGTCAGCTCTGCTGACTGGTGTGGGCTGCCGCCATCTTGCTTTGAAGTGGGAGAGCTGCAAGTCGACCAGGAACTGCTGGGCAAGGGTGCAACAAGTCTGGACAGCCTCACTCGGAACCTCCGAGGTCGACGGCCACTCCCCGGGCCTCTCACGTTGACATCCTCAGCGCCGGGCGGTCATGCTGCTCCTTTCATGGTAGCGATGCTCATTCCCCACATCCTCGCAGCTTGGCGTACTGACACATAGTGCCCGCTTATCATCTGGGATTTTTACTCCAGGCCGGGGTCGTGTGCCACGAGCCTTTCTGCGACCAATCTCTTGCGTCTACGTGGCTGGTGCGCGTGCTCTCAGGTGACTCATTTTCATATCCGGCACAGTCATAGTGCTTCTACGTTCGGCACGCGCCTCATGCCTCTCCTTTACTCATAACATTGGACCTCCTTTTAAAGATTTTTTTTTTAAGCAACTGCTCATCCCCGTTCTTCAAATGATGTATCCAAGGCTACATCTTGTTCTTTCTTGGTCTCTTTTTTTCCACACTTCGTTGACATCATTGCGCACTTATTCATCCCTCGCTGCACTTTTTTGTTCACACGTCATCACTGCTATTGTTCATACATTCTTCACAAGTTCCTTAATTCACATTATGAGAAAACGCTCCCAAGAACAACTGCACACAGTGCTCAACCCTCAATCTAAGAAAAATCTGAATGATATACAATACCTCGCAAATACACTCTCAATGTTGTTATCCAGTATACATTAGTCGGTAACTTTTATACACTTTCACATTAGTGATGCTTCACTAGCAACGTGTTGCACCATAACTTTTCACAAACTGCCTTACATCTTTGTGCACTCCTTGCCAAAATGCCTCCTTAGTAATTTCTATACGCAGGCTCTGCTGGTCTCAACTGCTATTCGCAGAGTGATATTCTAGAATATCCTTCTTATAAGCTGCTGGTACCGTTACGTGTCTCTTCATAGCTCCATTTTCCCCAAATTTTTGGTATATTACATCCTTATTCAATTCATAAAACACTCAGTGTCTGAATCCTTCTCTTCTTGGCTTGCCTCCAATCCTGCTCATTGTGTATCTTAGGGCTCTATCCCTTCACTGATTTTTTGTGAGCTCCTCTAAAGATACACCTAAACACTCCAAGATTGGCACCTTCGCCTCTGCCTGCCTTTCACTTCCCTCATTACTACCTCTATCCTCCGAGTTACCTGGGCTCTTCTTTGCCTTTGTCTTCTTTTCTTTTGTCTCCTGTTCTATTCTCGTGGCATTAAAACCCTTTCGCACTGGGTCATCAACTCTTCTCACCTCCAGTGATGTTCTGTGCAGGGAATTTTCCCGTTTTTGGGGAATTTTCGCCTATTCATTTTGAGCCCAAGAGAAAAAAGGAATCAATGTGATACCATTACGGGAAATTTCAGGAATGGTTATATTCTCCTATGATGACCGATATATAGCGCTCACTGTGCACCTTCATCTGCTATAATCAGTTCTGACATATGCACCACGCAAACACAGCCTTTGAGATTTCTTTCTGATATTTACCCGGAGCAATTTCTAGTTCACTAGTGGTGTTAGACTTGAAGCCCACAATGTGCAGTGTACTAACAGTATATGAATTAATAAAGACATGCTTTGGTTGTGTCGCAGTGGAGGGGCTAGTCATGATGTCAAAAGTCGCCAGTACGTGAGACACATGTCATTATAGTATGTGTGCGCGTGGATGGGTGCGGAAATTAGTACTGTTGTGCAGGAAATTTTGCTGGGAATTTGGCAAACGTTTGCAGAAAAAAATACCTGAAATAGGGAATTTTCATGTCTCTGAATGGGAATTATTCGACGTAGTACGGAACATCACTGCTTACTCCTGGCCTATGTCCTAAGATGACGTCATACAGTGGGTCCTCCATATTCTTGGTCATAATTTCACCTAAGAAATAGGGAGTGTTCAACATTATCTTGGCCTCTGGCAGCCTCCTCTTGGATCCATCTACAAAGATGACAATGCCCTGTTTTCCTGTGAAGTCTTTTGTTAACTAGGCTCTTGAATATTACAGCATCAGTCCCAGAGTCTCTCAACACTGAAACTCGTTTGCCGTTCACTTTTCCTTCTACCACTGGCATATTACAGCCTCTTCCTGTTGCCGGGCTCAACACTATGCTCACTATCTCGGGCTTTTCTTCTGCCCTTAACGCACATGCACTCTCTTCGCCTGATCGTGACCTACACTCATTTGCCTCGTGCCCCCTCTTTTCGCATAGCTGGCAAACTACAGCTGTTTCTTGTTTACTGCCACTTGTTCGGCAATTCATGGCTATATGCCCTAGTCAACTGCACAAGAAACATAGCTGCTGCGCTCTTGCCTTACTCCTTCAAGCCTCAGTTATATGCTCACCTTTCTTGGGTATGTCGCTTGTCCCTTTCTCCAGATTCTTCAGCTCTTGGGCCTCCATGAATTGGTCAGCCTGTCTTGTCATTTTCTCTACCATGACCACCTTTCTTCCCTTCAAGAATATGACCAGCTCGCTACTGCAACAGCTGAGAAATTGCGCTCCAACTACCTTGTCACGGACGCCTTCATAAACTTTTTTTCTGTATCAGACAACTCCATCCATCTGTCAAAGTAGTTGGACAATCGGCTGACACTCTTTTTGCTCGTCTCTGAATTCTTGGGCTTGCATGACCGGAATTTCACGCGAAAACCTTCGGCGGTTAGCTGTATTCTTTGTAATAAAGTTTTCTTTACCAGTTCATAGTTCAGTGATTCTTCTGCTGGCATGCGGCTGAACACAATAAGTGTCTCGCCATTGACACACAAACTCAAGGCAATGGCCTACTCGCTCTTTTCCCAGCCCTGCTCGATCACGATCCGCTCAAAAAAAAAACGCAAGTGAACATCAAGGCCCTCCCTTTGCTCGTTGCAGAGTGCCATCAACTTGCGCAGGCAAATATGTTTAGGCCTGGGAGTAGGCGAGCTGGTTGACGCCGACATGGGGGTACTCGCATTACTCGCCTCGTCACGCGGGCCCAAGTTTATCTGCGTTAGCCTCAACTTGAGCTCAAGAGTTTCCTTCTCACGGTCGTGCTGTTCGCGCCCTCTCTTTCTCGCGCTCATGCTATTTTACCATCCGTCCATGTGCTCTTTCCTATTCTTTCCAGTTGCGGCAGTTGCGGCGGCCCGCTTGTCTCGTTTAGGGACATCATGTTGCCGTTCAGTCGTGGCGAGGCCCAAGGCTGGGGGCATTGTTTGTTCGCTATCCCACTTCTGACACCATGTCACGTGGTTAGTGCTATGAAGGGGCACGGGCACGCAAGAACCGACAGGCGCTCATTGGCTCCCCAGACAAAACTGGGCCCCTGCCTTTATTGAGATCGACATTTATAGACAGGAACTTCAGAGGGTGCTCGTGACAAAGTGTCTACCGCAGCTAAGTACTTCCCAGGCACATATTTCACCCCATACTGATAGCGCATCAGTTTTATCCGCATTCGTCGTATGCGGGATGGCACAAGCTCTAGGTCCTTGTCACCCAGAAGTGTAACCAAAGGAAGATGGTCTATCTCTATTTTGAAGGTGAGGCCACAAAGAAACTGATTGTATCGGGAAGCAGCCCAAGTCACGGCGAGACATTCGTTTTCTGTCTGGGTATAGCGCACTTCTGTGGAAGTGAGCATTCTTGAAGCGTACGCAACGGCCCGTCAATTATTTTCAGGCTGGTCCTGTAGGAGTACCACTCCCAGGCCATAAGAACTGGCATCCGCGGATACTACTATGTGGTAGCAGAAATCCTATTTTGCCATGCACGTGTCGGAGCTCAGCAACAACTTCAGTCGTGAGAAGGCAGCTTCTTGACTGGGACTTCAAGTCCAGGTGCTGTTCTTGTTCAAAATGGAACGAATGCACTCTGTGACACCGGATACATGAAGTATGAAGCGTGCGACGTGGTTGGCTATTCCAAGTAACGGTCGTACTGCACTGACGTCGGTGGGTAGCGGCAGGTTCTTGACAGCCGTGACCTTGTCTGGGTCTGGTAAAATCCCGTCTGCTCCAACCACTACACCCAGGAACTTTACTGAG